AAACAAACAAGAGAAAGTGCTTTTGGAAGGGAGATGAATTAAAGTTTGGAAATGGTGTATATGAGTTGTTCCGGGGACAGTCATGCTGTCCAGCCAGCACAAGTTCCCAACTTGTCTTAAAATCATTCTATGTGGGAACTGTCATCACATACACAGAAATGAATGTGATTGGTGTTGGTCAGGATTCCCAGGAATGTCAGGGAGCAGAGAAGTCTGCCCAGGAAACAGCAGTGTTTAAGTCGTCTTGCTGGAGACTAAGGCTGCTCTCTGTTCACCAGGGCCAGGCACAGGGTGTGGTACTTCCTCGGCAAATGTCTTTGGAATGGATGAATAATTGGAGGGAAGGCTCATGGTGCTGGGAGGGCTGCTGAGCAGGGAAGCCTTAAATCCAGAAAGCCTCACCTGCTTCACCATGAAACAGCACAGAGGAAGCAACACACATTTATGAGGGCCAGGTCCCAGGCCAGGCAATGAAGGCCAGCAGCTATGAAGATGGTGTTCCTGCCCTCAGGTTATCGTGTTGGATCTCATCCCACGACATAAGAGAACAGGAAAACGCGGACCTATAGGGTAAATACAATACCATGTCATTTTAATAGCTTTTCACACCAAGATAGGTGGTTTAAGGGTGTGACATTGCAGTTTGGTAGCCTTTTATTTTTCTTGTTTTTTTTTCAGAGACAGGGTCTTGGTCTGTTACACAGGCTGGTGTGAAGTGGCATGAACACAGCTCACTGCAGCCTTAACCTCCTCGGCTCAAGTGATCCTCTTACATCGGCCTCCCAAGTACCTAGGACTACACATCTGTGCCACCATGCCCGGCTCATGTTTTATATTTGTAGAGATGGGAAGGGTGATCTCACTATGTTGCCAAGGCTTGTCTTGAACTCCTGGACTCAAGCAATCCTCCCGTCTCAGAATCCCAAAAGTGCTAGGATTAAAGGCATGAACTACTGCGCCGCTGAGCCAAACACCTGCCTTGGTAGCTTTTTCTTAATTACTTATTTATTTTTGAGATGGAGTCTCACTCACTCTGTTTTCTAGGCTGGAGTGCTGTGTTGTGATCAGCTCACTGCAACCTACGCCTCCTAGGTTCAAGCGATTCTCCTGCCTCAGCTTCTAGAGTAGCTGGGACTACAGGCATGTGCCACCACGCCTGGCTCATTTTTCTATTTTTGTAGAGATGGGGTTTCACCATGTTGGCCATGCTGGTCTCAGACTCCTGACCTCAGGTGATCCACCCACCTCAGCCTCCCAAAGTACTGAGATTACAGGCATGAGCCACTGCACCCAGCCTCCTTGGTGGCTTCTTAAGAGAGCAAATCCAGAGAATATTTCAAAAATATTATGAGGTGAAATTATTAGCTGTTTTTTGTGGAAGCCTGAAAGGACAGCTTGGAAGACCAAGGAGAGACTTTCACACATCACAGTAATAGGCTACATCCTGAATCTGCTCTCCTTCACTGCCTAGAACACACCCAGACGGTCTGCTCAGAAGCAGGGATTCCATGAAAGGCAGATGTCACCCGTTCTATACAGATGGTGGCCTTTTCCTGACAAGACCAAGGTGAGTTATGCACAAATCCAGAAAGCCTCACCTGCTTCACCATGAAATACAGCACAGAGTGCCTCTCAGGGAGGAAACGGACATGTGTCTATCAAATAATTGATCAATTACATTATCCCAGGTCTCCACCCACTGCCTTAGCCTCATCATCCTTTCCATTCCCTCCATTCTGGTCTCTAAAAAGGGTTTGGCTGGGTGCGGTGGCTCACGCCTGTAATCCCAGCACTTTGGGAAGCCAAGGTGGGTGGATCACTTGAGGTAGTAGTTCTAGATATGGCCATGTTGCCCAGGCTGCAGTTCTTTACATATTTTGGATACAAGCCCTTTATCTGATAAATGTGCCGGAATTTATTCTTCCAGGCTTGCCTCACATTTTCTAATATCACTGAAGAGCAAATTCTTTATAAAGTCCAGTTTAGTAATACTTTGCCTTGTGACTCATGTTTTGTGTTTGTTGAGCATATGAAATTTAAATTTGTTTTATTTCACCAAATATGGTAAGTTGTTGGCTATCATTTCTCTAAATATTTTTTTGTGGCTCATGCTTTGTTTCCTTTCTGGTACTCATCACTGTACTTTAGACTTTTGATACAGGGTTGTGAAGTTTGCTTAATAAAATCCTTTTTGTCTCTGTATTTTAGGGTGAAAACTTTCTATCAATCTGTCTTCATGTTTTCTGACTCTTTCCTCCCTCTTCCCTACTCTGCTATTAAGCCTGTCCAGTAAGTTTAAAATATTAGATTATTTTTCAATTCTGAAATTTTCATTTTTTTCTATGTTCTAGGAGATATCCTTTCTTTTTGTTCATATTAGGTATATTTTCCTTTACTTTATAAAGCCTTGTTATAGTAGCTACTCTTTCTCCTGGAGTGATGATTCTAACATCTGGGGCCTCTTACGGTGGACTGTCTTTTCCTTTGAGAGTGATGTATTTCCTTTTTCTGGTTTTTTGTTGTTGTTGTTGTTGTTGTTCCTTTTGTTGTATGTTAAGCAATTTTGGGTTGTATCCTGGGCTAGGTAAATAATACACTGAGCTCGGATTCAGTAATATTCTTCTGAAGAATGTTGAGGCTTTTGCAGGCAATTAACTCGATCAGACTCAAATGGTAAGCTCTCTGTTGCTTCCTCTGGGCAGTGAGTCAAATCTTGGTTTAATTCCTTAAGCTTGTGCTGCCAATTCTGTCATACTCATGCATGCTTTGGAGGTAAGCAAGAGATTTGTGTGGAGCTCACATACAAATTAGAGGATTCTTATCCCCAGCTGTCTCCCTGATGGAACTCCTCACTCCCCAGTGACCTGGGCTTCTTCCTCCGGTATCTCTGTTTTTTTCTGTGTGTGTTTTTGGTAGAGATGGGGTTTCACCATCTTGGCCAGGCTGGTCTTGAACTCCCGACCTCATGATCCACTTGCCTCAGCCTCCCATAGTGCTGGGATTGCAGGCATGAGCCACCATGCCTGGCCAATTATACTCACCACCCATTGCTGAGTATTCTTTGAGCAGCAACTCTCTGCCATTAGGCACAGTTCCAGATGCTGGGGATAAAGTGGCAAATGTAACAGACATGGTCCCTGCTGTCTGGAGCTTGCATTCTCGTGTATGTGTGTGTGATTACACTTAAAGATAATTAAGCAAGGGCATTTCTCTGAAGAAAACAAGCAAAGGAATGAGAATGCAATGCTAGGATCAGTAGTGTAACCTTAGACAGGGTGGAGCAGTGTATTAGTCCCCTTTCACACTGCTATAAATAGCTACCTGAGACTGGGTAATTTATTAAAGAAAGAGAGAGAGAGAGAGATTTAATTGACTCACAGTTCCGCATGGCTGGGGAGACCTCAGGAAACTTACAATCATGGTGGAAGCAGAAGCAGGCATGTCTTATATGGCAACAGGAGACGGAGTGTGAAGGAGGAACTGTCCAACATGAAACCATCAGATTTTGTGAGAACTCACTATCACAAGAATAGCATGGGAGAAACTGCCTCTATGATCCAACTACCTTCCACCAGGTCTGTCCCTTGACACGTGGGGATTTTGGGGATTACGATTCAAGGTGAGATTTGGGTGGGGACACAGAGCCAAACCGCATCAAGCAGGAAGGCCACTTGCAGCAGTGATGTTTGAGTGGATGTCAAAATGATAACAAGAAGCCAGTTTCTAGACAGGCACAGAGGTCACTCATTCTAAGTGTGCTGCAAAGCCTCTTTAATGAAAACATCTACATCTTAAATGTAATTGTCAGAATAATGAAGGGTAACATGATTATTCACATTTAGTCAACTTCATTTACATAGATAAAACATAAAGGAAAAATCCAACCTGTCTGTATGTACATGCACTGATGTTTAGAATCCATTGGCGGAAAAAGAAAATTTAGTCAGCAAAATCTTTTCTAGATAAATGCTAAAATCATTATTCTAAGAAAAGAATTCTCCACTTTTACTGTGTGTGTGTGTGTGTGTGTGTGTGTGTGTGTATATACCCACACACACTCATTAAAAAATATGTAAGAGCTCTCCCATAGCTTGACAGTATTCTACGAAATTAAAAAAATCAGTATTACCTGTTGAGTGCCATCTTACATGTGCAATCAAAACTGTTGAGGTTATCTGAATAAAAAATCCCTGGTGTCTATTACAGAAAGCTTTTAATTGAACTTGCCTTGGCAATTTACTCCTAAATCTTCTTTTTTCCCCAGCTCAACATAATATTGCGGGACCCTGTTTCAAAAAAAAAAAAAAAAAAAAAAAAAGAGTTCAAGTAAATGCAAATGAAGTTTTTGCAACCTTTTCTCAAAAGATTCTGCACTGGAATACAGACTACAGTATTAAACTACTGTGTATATATAGTTTCTACAGTTATATACACCATAGTATCTTTTACAGGTGTATAAGGTCAATAGCCCTAGTCTTATTCAGGCTTAAAACGAGTGCTTGCCTTGTAACTCTGCAAGTGACCAATAATCTCGTAATACTGAAAATCACAAGGTAGGATAAAGCGTTCCATTGCTAGTCCCATAAAGCTTACTAGATTTTTTCCCCATTCTCCCAAATCTTAGGAGAGGCATGACTGAAGATGTGAGATAAAATTATTTCTTGTAAAAAATGAACGATCATTTCTCAGGCCCATTCCCAGTCACATGAGCCTTTGCAATCCAACTTGAGGTCACTTTTAAAAACCTTCCCTGGTAGCAGGCCCTTGTGGTTTTTCTCCTCTAATAAAAGTGATTAATTGGGAAGGGGAGCAGTAGGTGACATTCCTTGCTTTGAGACAGCTTGTGGTGGTTTCCTACACCCTGGGGTGGAAGCCCCAGACATGGAGTGAAGCATCATCTGCTAGAGCTGCGGACAGTTACTGAGGCAGACAGGACTTCATCCCCTGACTCATTACGGTTCAGTTTGGTTTCTAAATCTCCTCCAGTAAAAATCCTCCCCCTGGAACCATCTGCTCTTTGGACAAGCTTCAGCCCCCTGAACCTAGTACAATCAGGGTCTGGTCTAGGCTTTGCAGAGTTGGAAGGAAATCCCCCGCCCTCCAGCCAACGCTGTCTAAGGTGCTGAATACTGTAGCCATTGTGTTGCCTCTGGCTGAGCTAACACAACCTCTCACCCTGAGAAATGTTTTCCAAGACAGGACAGTGTTCAGAAGCATGGACTCGAGCCTTGGGCCATCTGCATCCCATTCCTTTTCCATCAAGATGAGCTGGGTGACCTTGGCCACATGACCTCCATCTTTCTGAGCCAAAGCACTTAAAACACAATAAACATTCAAAACCACAGCACTTAGAATCAGGAAGTCCTTTTACCATTTTTCATAGTATAAGGCACTTATTTTTTCTTTTAATATCATTCCCTTTTTTTAAAGGCAAAGGAACCACAAGCGAACACACTAGTCATGACCCATCAGAATAATAGAATGCTCATCTACAAAAACATTTCCTGATTTCTTTCTGAACCTCTTCCTACTGGGAAATACTGCTGTTTGCTTAAAAAGTGGTGAGAATATATTATGATTCTTCCTTTTAAAAAATTAAATTTGTATACATTTAAGGTGTACAAGTGCAGTTCTGTTACATGGATATGTGTAAATTGGTGAAGTCCAGGCTTTTGCCTCAACCAACACCAGAACAGTGTACATTGTACCCATTAGGTAATTTCTCATCCCTTACTCTCCTCCCGCCCTTCTGAGTCTCCAATGTCTATTTCACACTCTATGTTCACAGGTATACATTATTTAGCTCCCATTTATAAGTAAGAACATGAGGTATTTGACTTTCCACTTCTAAGTTATTTCACTTAAGATAATGGCCTCCAGTTCCATCCATGTTGTTGCAAAATACATGGTTTCATTCTTTTTTATGGCTGAATAGTATTCCACTGTGTATACATACCACATGTTCTTTATCCAATCATCTGTTGATGTGATTTCCTTTTCTTAGCATATTCTTGGGGTACTTCTGAATCAGTTCTTCTACTTATTAAGTTTTTGGGGAAGGAGATTTGGTAAGTTTCATTTTCATTACTTTTAATTATCTCCATCATCCTTCTGCAAACCCATGTGCCGCAATTCAGAGCATTGTGTCTGTGTAAGACCACAATGAGGACTCCTTCTGAGAAGACCCCATCCTGCAAATGAGGCCCTCTGTGTTTATGATCCAAGTTTCACCATGTGTTTTTATTTTCGTTTTGTTTTGTTTTTTTGGAGACAGAATCTTGCTCTGTTACCCAGGCTGGAGTGCAGTGGCACGAGCTTGGCTCACCACAACCTCCACCTCCTGGGTTCCAGTGATTCTCCTGCCTCAGCCTCCTGAGTAGCTGGGACTACAGACGTGAGCCACTGTGTCTGGCCCAATATGTGGTTGTTATTAGCTATGCCCTTTACTGAACTCCTTTTCTTGACCTCTTATACCTACACCTGTTGTAAAGAAACAAATGCAAAACAAGATTGCAGTGAAACACTAAAAGAAGAGCATTCTAGTTCAAAAAAATTTTTAATTTTCTTGTGCCACATAACAATGAACTATGGCGTTGCCAAACTATCATATAATTAACTTCTTGTCTTTTGTTTCTTATGAATTTACATATTCAATTATCCTTCTATTTAATTTCCCATGGTTTTGCTACGTTGACTAAAACTTTGTAACAAGAAAGTCTTTTAATTTAATGGACTTTGCAGTTCATGGGTAACCAGCTTTGGAAGTCATTTTCGCATTACTAAGTGCCCACTGAGTGCTGTTTCGTAACCCTGTACATTTTCTCTGTCAGGATTTGGAGTCCCTAGTACCTAGGTTATTTGTCCACCAGAACTATGGCTATAAAAGAGAAAATTGAGCAGTGGTTAGGAGCTGCTGGGAAGATGCAGTAAAACAGGTTGCATAAAAACAATGCTGATTTGAAATAACCTATGCTCTTTTGTCAAGGGATATTGCATTAGTACATATAATCAAAATCAGGGCCAATTTAGAGGATGTGGCTGAAAGCACCGTTTTGGTCCCATCAGAATTTCTGCTTTCTTTCTTTTTTTTTTCTATTTCTCCACGAAGACCTAAACTGCTTTGTTTCTTCTGAGAGCTCAGCATACATTTCCACTTTTTCTGTCAAAGTGGACACAATTAAGAGTCTCACAAATGAAGGGGGATTATGATCCCATGAGACCAACTATCTGCAAAGTGGCTACAGAGCCAGAATGTGGATGTGAACAAATTCGGAATGTGCTGCCCAGCGACTGGAGAAGGGGCGTTTTAGAGCTGCGGTTTCAGTCTCTAGGGAAGGGATTTTCATAAATGGCCAATTTATGTGCAAAGGTGACTTTCCTAGGCACCCAGGAAGGCAAATTTAAGCTCTAGGCTATATCAGCTGCATTCTGTTCCTATCATCAGCAATAACAGAAGTCTCAGAATTTAACAGCAAAAGGTGGCCACTTGGCTCCTTGTTTACCTAAGTGTGCATGGCTCTCGTAATAAGGAATACAGCTGTTCATTCTGCTGGGAAGGAAAGGAGATGAAGTTTGTTTTGCCCAGCATTTTGGGAATCATAACCACAATTTAATATAATCAGGTATAGTTTGTTTAAGGAATTATCAAAAATCATACTTGGATATCTGATAGGAATGGAGGTTGATAGGCTTTGATCGTATGCCAACCAGAAAACAATTCCATTCAAAAGTGGAGTTGGGAAACATAGCATTAGGAGAATTTATTCAAACATCCATGCAGAGATAGTCTAATATCATTTTAAAAACCTATTTCCAGGCTCTCTTGCTCCATTTTAAAGGAAATGCAGTTCTATTTTGAATATAATTCAGGATAGGGCACCAGCTCTCTGATTTATGCAGAAGGACAGAAATTCACAAACCTGCCTGGGTTATTTTTGTATTTCAGCAAGAGGTTGTGTGCAGCTGCTGTTTCTGGCAGAAAATAAAAAAAAAGTGCAAGTAAAAAGTGAACCAAACAGTAAAGACCGTCATTTTTTCTTTATCAAATCCATGAGATCGTCTTCTATTCCTTTCTCACTCAGCTCATCCAGACTGTAGTATCGGTGAACAATTTTGTCGGCAGTGACCACCACGACTCGGAGCCCATGGGGGTCTAGGCCTAGCTGGCATCCGATGGCAGATGACACCACCATGTCGAGGTTCTGGTAGGTGCCCCCAGCATTCCTGTGGTAGTGGCCTGAGAACACGGCTTTGACACCTGCAGGGAATGGAAAAAGACATTAGGGGCTGAGGACTTCCACGAGGTGGCCTGGGGTCTCCAGTGTTTTATTCCGTGAACAGTAATATATTAAATATGTTATTATACCATTATGTGGAAT